ATATACATATACATATACATATACATACATACATATGTGTATGTGTGTGGTGTGTGTGTGTATATGTGTGTGCCTTAGAAAGACAGATTTTTAAGTAGTCTGGGAACATAAAAGGAATTCCTAATTACAGTATGTTGCATTACTTTCTGATAATGTGTGTTATTACTATTTTCAAGGTGGTTTCTATATGTAAAGATGAGAGAGAGAGAGAGAGAATTCAACTTCTACTGTTAACTTTCATTATCATTTGTAGTAGAAGTATAGTCTTGGTACAGTATAAAAGTTATCAAACAGAAAAATTGAATCTGTCACCTAGGTAGGCAAAATTACAGGTATTCAATTTATGCACATATGAGCTCTCCAGCTTTTGATCTCCATCCGTCTGCAATGGAGGATAATTCATGGAAATGTGGCTTGAATTTTCTAAATAAAAGCTGTATTTTCTAAGCCATGGTATCACCCATGCCCTTTTCGCTGCTACAGAAAGAAGAAACAGTTCATTCGCCTGATGTGTATCTTGTTCTCTTGATGTTTTGATAATCTAATGTTACAAACCTATACACCCCTAGCCATGAGTAAACACCACAGAACTCGTTAGGACTTACTTTCGAGGAGATATACATTGGGTTCTGCTGTAATAGGCTTCCCAGGTGCACTTTTTGTTTGTGAACACTCAAGATGTAATAGCATCACTGGTGTTATAATTATTCTGCTTTGTAAAGGAATATGTGAGTGATAGGCTTGCTTTCCAGAGATAACCTGGACTGGAATGTGGAAAACAGCAGGCACACAAAGTTGCATGCTATTGTTAGGGACTCACAACAACAGCAAAAATAACAAATTGAAAATAAATGCCTTGTCATTTAAAATACTGAGATGAGGGAGGAGGAACATTTAAAAATGTTGTCATACCTTGCAAAAAGAGAGGGTATGTGTTTATCCCAAATTACTATTGAAGGCTAATTTAGAGGTAAATGGAAAACATGCAATTCCCCTCTTCCCATATGGGACAAAAGAAAATGGGTGATATCATGGCTTGGAATATACAGATGAAAAAAAATCACACCACTTAAGTCAGAGTTCGATCAATGATCTTCCATTGCTTGTGGAGGCAATGATTAATAGTTCTCATGCAATTCATATCTAATTGGTTGCCATGATGTCATGCATTCCATATATATGGTAGTAGAACAACCATTACTATCCACAAAGCAAGCTGATTTACATCTTCCCTGGTAAAGAAGCTTCTGAAGTGGCACTGGGACTCTTTTATTAGTAAAAGATTTTCCCTCTCAAATCATGGTCTATCTTTAACTTCCCTTTTTGCTCTTTCCTTTTTGCTGATTTTCATTGGCTTCCAGTTTGTTTCCAAGAACAGCAAGTGTTGCCATCACTTTCAAAGTACTAAGCAATGTGGGACCGGAATATTTACAGGGCTGCTTTTCCCTGCATGATCATGCCTACTTACTGTAGTCATCAGCATAGGCTTCTGTTCCTTGTACCATCAAATATTCAGCTGGTGGCAAGGCAACTGCTATGGAGGCCAGATCCGGCCTTTCCATATCTGGCATCCATACTGTGGAACTTAATTTCTCATGGAACCCCTACTGGCCCACTTTTGCTTGGCACCTGGACATCTTGTTAGGCTATTTTCCATATTCTGACTTTGGTTTGGTTTCAAGGTTTTTTTCTCCCCACTTCTGCCCAGTTTCATGATGTTTGCAGATGTGATTTGTAGTTGTTGTTTACTGAATGTTGGTTGGTTTTATTCTTCCTGATTTTTTTAATTGTTCTTTTGCTTTGAAATTATGTTTTGTAAGCCTCGCTGAGAAGATGGCAAGGCCAAAAGGCAAGATAGAATTGTTTTCATTCACAAAAAGGAACATGAATTTTCCAAATAGTAGTAATTACAATTCAGGAAACTGTATTTTCCCAGAACTCAGCATCATTGTTGACAGGAAAGATTCAGCTTCTAAAGAATAGTGATGTTATCTTAAGGGGTAGTATTTTGAATGCATTCCCTGGTTGGAAGTGAAAATAAGACAGGGTCTTATATTACTTTTTGCTCCAAAAAGGCATTAGGGCTTATTTTCAGGGGATGTTTTATTTTACAGTCATGTCATCTTCTTCTGGTTGCTGCACAATGCTGCACAATGGTGGAGGGCGGTGTTTCACTTAACTAGGGCTTGTTTTTGGGGTAGGGCTTATATTACGAGCATCCTGAAAAACCATACTAGGGCTTATTTTCAGGTTAGGTCTTATTTTCGGGAAAACAGGGTAGGATGTGTTGAGCATTGCATTTCTTAAACAAAGCTAAGAAGAAAGACTACCTTAATGTCCTTTGACCACATGGTCACATACTGTGAATGGTTAGTAGCTTATTCTTACTGCCAGAGTCTAGACACATGCTTAAAGCAATGATAACGTAATATAGTTATGTCTCCACTTTTTGTTAGTTTCTTGCTATGATTGCTTGAGACCTGCAGAAGTTATAAGATGAATCCCATTGGAAGCAGCCAAAGGTTCTCATTTAGGGTGTGATCACACCAGGCAAATGACATACGTTTATGTACATTTTGACATATTGAACATTCCCCCAATTTTTTTTTAGGCAGCCACACAGCAATAATGGTGGCCACCAGCCCCAGTGACTTGGCTTTGGAAATGAACGGCAGCCACACAGCAATAATGGTGGCCACCTGCCCCAGTGACTTGGCTTTGGAAATGAAGCAATAGGGTCGTGCATACATGTCATACTGCTAAGGAATAAATCAATACATCATTGGAACAAAACAATAGAAGCCTCCCGGTGAGGGAAAATGTTCCGCAGTTACACAGCTGGCTGGGAAAATGATTCGTTAATATCCGTGCATCATAAGACCACAAATTTATGCAACGATCTAACAGGGTTATAACTAGGGAACACTTGTCTGGTGTGACTGTGGCCTTAGATGGGAAATAGCTGGCAGCCACACAGAGAACTTGGACTGCCTGGTGAGAGTAGGGATGGGTCTTTAGTATTTAAATGAAGACCTCAAACATGAAAGAGGCTATCTTAGATGTAGTTCATGTTCTTCTGGCAATTGCCAAAAGCAAGAGCCTCTAAACAAGAATGATTCATACTTATGAAAGAGAATTACACAAAGTTTCATGTTCCATATTCTCTCTTTTGTGTTAACTTTTGGTGCCATGTTATGCTTTGTTTGCAATTTTTTGCCTCTATTTACTTGCTTGCTTTTCTCTGTTTTTGGAAGAGGGGGCTGTATATATGTGTGGTGCTTTCCCTGTTTGATTTTTTTAAAAGTTATTTGGTTACTCTACTGTGTTTTATTCTGTTTGAGGTGTAAATTTGGAGGAGATGGAAGGGATGTTTTGTTTGCTTCTGAAGGGGTGTGTGAGCCAGGCTGGTGGGCTTTGTGACTGTGCTAGTGTGACATTAGGCACTGTGGGTGGTTGTTTTCATTGGTTAGGCACAGCTTGGGGCATTTCTCTCTTGCTGTCCTTGGTGCTGTGTTGTTTTTGACTGCTTTGGTGAGTTGGTACCTCTTTATGCCAGACACCCAGTGTTGCTCCTTTGCCTTTCATCCTATTGTTCTACCCACGCCCAACACTCCTACGTATACTGGGTGGTGGTAATGAACTCATACCGTTTTCTCTTTCCTACATTTTCAGTGCTTTACCGCTTTTTAAATTGCTTGGTGAATGAGTGATATATTTTTATAGGTCTGGTGATAACAACTTTTCTTTCTCAAGCATTGTTGCCTGCTTTTGGAGTAAATTAATTCTGCGTTGCATTTTACCTCTCTGATCTTTTGGAGTAGTTCTTTAGGGTTCTGTAGGACTTAATTTGGACTAACAGCAGGGAACGGGGATGATGAAACCTGAAGCAAAAGAACATTAAAGAGGTTGTTCTCTTCGTGCAAAACAAAAGGAGCAGCACAATAACAATATGAAAACTAAATAGGCATACCGACCCCTGACACAACCCAAAATGACAGAAGTACAAACATTTTCACCATGCACATTGCTAGTTGATAGGGCAACGGCAAAGAGTAGAATTCAGATTAAAGACATTGCTGGGCATACTTTGTAGGACCATGGATAGTTCCAAAGCAGGCTAAAGACTCAGCAACAGCAGACCTGACTTAATATTTTACCCCAGTGGTTCTCAAACTTGGGTCCTGAGATGTCCTTGGACTGCAACTCCCAGAAATCCTGTCCAAGACAATAAGCGGTGAGGGCTTCTGGAAATTGCAATCCAAGAATATCTGGGGAACCCAGTTTGAGAGCCACTGCTCTACACCAAGACAGGGTATAAAGGTCTTCCAGATATTTGGGAGGTTGTCTACAATATCCATCAACTGTAGCCTACATAGCCAATGATGAGAGAACATGGAATCTGCTATTCAGAAATAGTCCATCCCTGCCTTATACACTGCTAGAATCCTTGATATCTGAATGAACTTCCACTGCTCCTTGGTGAAGAGTCCTTGGTGGCTTTTCTCTGACATAGAGCACATACTTCTCCAGTGTTCTACAGTTTCTTGGCAGGAC